ATGACAAATGACCTCATAACGGCATCAGACAAAGGACTTGTCTCTGTCGATCAAGGACTTTTGATAGATCTTAGTGCTGCTTTTTACACCATTGACCATCAGATCCTATTACAAACACTGGAACATTTCCTTGGCATTAAAGGAGCCGGTCTAAGCTGGTTTAGGTCCTATTTATCACATCGGTTTAAATTTGTGCATGTTAGTGATGAGTCCTCCATGCATGCCAAAGTTAGCTATGGAGTTCCGCATGGATCTGTGGTTACGTTATATATGCTTCCTTTCGGTAATTTTATAAGGAAACACTTCATAAACTTTAATTGTTATGCAGATCATACTCAGTTATATCTATAGATCAAGCCAGATGAAACTCATCAGTTAGCGAAGCTTCAAATGTGTCTTCAGGATATTAAATCCTGGATGACCTGCAATTTTCTAATGTTAAACTCAGATAAAACTGAAGTTATTGTTCTAGGGCCTAAGCACCTCCGTGACACATTATCTAGAGATATAGTTTCCCTGGATGGCATCGCCCTGGCCTCCAGCACCACTTTGAGATATCTTGGAGTTATCTTTGCTAAGGAGATGTCGTTTAACTCTCACATTAAGCAAATTTCAAGAACCACCTTCTTTCACGTACGTAATATTGCAAAAATCAGGAGCATCCTGTGTAAAAATGATGCAGAAAATCTAGTCCATGCATTTGTTACTACTAGGCTGGATTACTGCAATCCGCTATTATCAGGCTCTTCAAAAAAGTCCATAAAGACTCTTCAGCTGATCCAGAATGCTGCAGCACGTGATCTGAGAGGAACCAGTAAAAGAGATCATATTTCTCCCATCTTGGCTTCTCTGCATTAGTTTCCCATAAAATCCAGAGTATAATTTAAAATCCTTCTTCTTACATACAAAGCTCTTCATGGTCAGGCACCATCTAATCTTAAAGAGCTCATAGTACCTTACTGCCCTACCAGCGTACTGCGGTCCCAGAATGCAGGGTTTCTTGTTGTTCCTAGAGTCTTCAAAAGTAGAATGGGAGCCAGAGCTTTCAGCTATCAGAGTTGTGTCCTGTGGAACCAGGTTACAGTTTGGGTCCAGAAGGGCAGACACAGTCTCTAAATTAGGATTAAGACTTTCCTTTATGATAGATCTTACAGTTAGGGCTGCTTAGGTGAGTCCACCCTTAGTCATGCTGCCATAGCCCTAGACTGCCAAGGGATTACGCATGATACACTGAGCTCCTCTCTCTTGTCTCTGTCTCCCTCTCAGTGCAACCTCATTCCATTAATGCATGTTACTCACTGGACTTTTTCCCTTTCCCATAGTCGTGTGCTTTCTCGTCCCCCTCCTCTCTCCTCCTATTATCTCCTGCAGGTGTTCCTGGCACTGGAGCTGTGGAGTCTGGACCTGTGATTGGGAGTCTCCTGCTGCCCATCAATATAGACATTTTGGACCAAGGTTGTAAAGCAGGGGGAGGTGGTGAACCCAATTGTCCCACACCATCCTGATGTTTCTCTGCCATTGATCTAGTCAGTCATTTTGTTTGTCAAAGTGGATAAGAACCCAAAGTAGGCATGTAAATATGTTTGGCACATATCCTTGCACCTCTCTCCAAAAAAACATCTTCCTTCTAAATTTGTGCAGTCTAGAACAATATTCTGGATCTAATCTGTGATGAAAAGCTCAAAAGAAGACTTGAGGACCTGTGTGTGAGTAACTGCCATCTGTGTTGGCCCTGGTTGTATCCTTATCACATGGCAGCCTTGCGGGATTTTGCATTCACCTGAAGGAATGCTTCTTGGAGCCTTTTATAGGGAGCAGGTGTGTATCATAAATGTCTGATTGGCCTTGTGGGCTTCTTTTGGTCCAATAGGTGTGCAGCATAGAAATACAGCCAATTAGTGGCCAGGGGAATGTAATGCCAGCTGACAAATAATTATCCAATGGCAGGCTCATACCCCTTTGCTTACTTAAATACAGGTGGTGACTTTTCTTTTTGCCAGTCACTGACTGTAATATTTGTTTGTGCATACAAACCTGTACAAACTAGGACTCTCCCTATCAGCCTTGTTAGCGCTATCCTCCATTACCCATGTGGGTTGACAGTTGTATCTAAGTCAGAAAGGGAAATGACAGGTTAACTTTTATTTATCCAAATGTCCATGAGATGATTTAAATTTAGAAGAAGCAATTTGTGACAATGTAGACATCTTAAACTCTCCAATTATTACATTTATTTCAAAAGCATTAACACTTATGCTGTGTTATCTGTTGAGAATTGGAGATGGTGCAATTTAATTTTCTCCTTGTCCTCATTTGAATTCTTGGGTATGGGGAACCATGATTTTTTTTCATCACTAAAAGAATATATCATAACAATGTGTGACATCTAGCACTGTGTTTTACCATTTAGTACAACACTACATTAAGTTAGCAGGCAGGATGTGATGATGATTTTGATACAGAATAATATGACAGAGCAGGGCATTATACTTACAGACACACAAACATTTGACATCTATGTTTTATTGTTGTTGTTTTATTATTTAGATTATTTGAAAGCATATGACTATTATGTACAATTAGCTTTAACCCAGGACAATTCACACGTCTCATTGCCCAACAGTGGACAAGTCATATGTCAGCAGATTTGAAGATGCTCCACTTGCAGCCATTGCAACTACTCGTGTAAGACAGTGAGTTATAAATATGTTTACATCCCTATCAGCTCTCAGCTACACATGACTGTTTTAATCTAAGTGGCATTTTCATGGAGTGATGAATAGAATCCAGTGAGCAGCCTTTGTTGCATAAAGGCGCTCCATATTTGAGTTGCATACCAACCTTTCTCACATGGTCAATTTTATCCCAGGGTTTAGGGACTGTTTGGTTTTGGCTTGTGGATAGGACGTGAAAAACCTCCTCTCCGCCAAAGTGTTAAAGGTGTTTTTCTTTCCATTTGCATAGCCCGTCACTAGTTGTTCCTTAAAAAATAACACTAGACAAGAGCTGTAATTTCATATGTAATAAAAATAGGGAAAATCATCAACATCAACACCGAGAACTGGTGTTGTATTTTTCAGTACAGTATGTGCTTAGGTCTGAAATTATATTACGAATTAACATTATGTTGAGCTATATCAATTACAAAGTGTATCTGTGCTCACAGAAAGTTCCTGAGCTTCAATTACACTTTTTACTGCAAACAAGTCAATTCATCAAAACTGTGTATTGACATTTTCACCTTCACCCCAATAAAGCAGTGATAAACAGAAATGAGTTAACCTTAAATTTTGATGTAACGGATACAAAAATTATTTCTGTTTCCTAAGCATATATCTGGGTCTTTTAAGGCTCTATAAACTCAAAAACTTGGTGAGCAGTTCAGATTTGCAGAGGAAACATCCCTTTACATAGTAATCCATCCCCTTTACATATTATCTAAGCTATGCTGCCCAACAGTTCTTTAAAGGGGAACTGCTGATAAGATTTTGCGGTGTTCTTTCGGACCACAGCAGCATATTCAAAGTTAGATTATACCTAAAAACAGGGATTTATGGGTTATCAGTGATACAGTGCTCTAATGTGGAAATAACTTCTTTTTAGGGTTGTTAAGTAACACGTGTAAACAAAAGTATATCCTGATGAAGTTAGAGGTGGGATAAAATCTAAAGAGATACTCTATTATCTTGAATTACCTGTATGAATAGAGGTGTTGACAAAAGAACATTTAAATGTACAGTGTCTGTAAATATTTTAAAGATATTATTTTGACCTTTGGAAAATATGTCAATATGTTAATTAAGAGTCATCCTTTTAGAGCAAATATCCAGATGTTTAGAAATCTTACTCTAAAAGGTTTGGACTGAATACCTTGACCATTTTAGACTGTTTGACAATTGTGCGAATTTTTGGTCAAAATTAGCGTAGCTACTACAATTTACAACCATTTAATGATCTCTAAAAATCAAACAATTATCAGTTTGTTCTGGAGTTTATTTGTACCAGATGTCATAGATTGTTGGCAGGTGTTCATAACAAATCATCAGGGTGTGGCATTCAATCATCCTTGATCTTTGACTATACAAAAATCTCAAGACTATGTTACTGAGTCCGAGTGAACATGTGGAATGACAGGACAACCCAAAAATTCATGCTATTTGCCAAAACTGTTACCAATGTGGTTGCATAAAAAATAAAACATCTTTGAAAAAAGGGAAAGAAAGAAATAGTTCACAACATTTTCAGCAGTTCAGACTGAACTACCGTCATTGCCAAGCTTTCCAAAGGGGCAAAACAGTGAGTATATACCACTTTAAAGGTCCCATTGCATGCTTTTAAATGCTTACTGGGTTATTTTCACCATTCAACTTATGCATAGTTATCTTAAATGTCACCCAAAGGTCAAAAAGAGGTTTACACAGGTTTTGGTGCTTTCACAGAAAAAAAAAATCCTACTTAATTAGAAGTCTAAAGCTTTTTGCCATCAAGACATTTTTCTAAAACCTTTTCACTTGTGAGTCACTGTGAATGTAAACCAGAATGTCCTTTTAATAAGAAGAAAGTATTTTGAATAAAACTCTGAAATGTAATTTAATCTGAGCAGAGCTAATGATACATTTGGTCCTTTGGCCCCTATTATCATTTTAACCATCGCTCGAGTCGTATTCATTACATCAATCTTTCTCACTGATATCTGAAACTAGATCGGAAGTCATTTTTTGCAGTTGATCTTTTTTGTTTGATTTGTTCATGGAGATGTATAAAAGAAATATACAATAGTCCATGAAGCAATTACTTTAAACAGAACAAAAAACCTTTATCAATTCAACAATATTTATAATTATATTATTAAGATACCTCTTCCATTTCAGGCCATTGCATCTACTATTGCAATTAGATCATCATGTTAACAGTCACTTCATTGTCTTTACCCATCAAATTCTCCTAAGTTCAATCAGCACTGCTTAAATTAGTGCACTTCTTTCAGCGATGTTTGTGTTCTAGTCGACAGGGCCTTGGAAGATGAGTTTTACGTGGCCCTGCTCACCTGTTAGCCAGTTACCACAGAAAGGGCAGGCAGCGTGAAAGGCATGGGTGCCGTGGGGCAATGGGATTTGACTCCAACCCACCACTGTCTTTTCTGAGCATACGTGGCCACAAGGGCAGAAAGCATGAGTGGGTGGCCCAGCATCTAGGTACAATCCACCTTCACAACCTAACCACAGGGGCACATAAGGTCCCACTCTCCTGCACATAGGGCACTCTCTCTCACCATAACTGGCTGGCGTTGTACCTGCAGGGCTACTGGACCTTTTCTCCTTGCGAAAGCCCCAATTGTGATAACCATGTACGTGGCCGCAATTGACATAGACCCAGGGCTGCTTCTTGTCGACAGTTTCTCGTTGGGTCAAACTGGGGAAAGCTAGCGTGTTGAAGCCCACGGGGCATTGAGGCCGGGCAGCATTCAGTTCCTGCCGAAGAGACTCCAGCTGTTTGAGGGTGGGGATATGCCTTAATCCAGCAGGTGTCCTCCACAGCAGGGTCGCCCCGCACAAATCAATGAGAGAACCGTCCTGAAGTGTGTTGGACTCGTTTTCAACCTTGAAAAGACAGTGGAGGAGGAGGAAAAGTGGGGGGAAAAAAACAAAAATGCACAAAAAATCATTTCAGATGGAAATATGCATCCATCTAGGAAGCATTTGTGTGAGTACTCACTGCTTACTAATAAAAATAAATCTAATTTTTAACACATGCACACAAACACTCATTAGACTCATTAGAAAATCCCCAAACCAACCTAGTCATCACAATCATAATTACTAAAGATATCAACATTGTTTCATTAAATTGACATTTAACACCACATTGCTCCACTAGTTTAACCCTGTAATCTATCTCTCTCTAATTCTTCTGCAGTTTCTTATATACAGACAAGGATTAGATCAATCTATTCCACACCATTTGGCTCTTCATCTTACCAGTTTACCCCTCTGTTGGGCTGAGCGGGTCTCCCTCAGAGCAAAGACATTGCCACAGACTGAGATTTCCCTCCAGACTCCTGGAGCCGGGTCAGACACAAACTCCCCTGTCGGGTTCATCACCAGTACACCATTGGTGGTAAGGCCATCCATTAGGCTGTCTGAAGTCCTCCATTTGGCGGCTCGTTCCTAAGAGACACACACCGCAACATACACATTTGCAAACACTCAGAAAGCAGATAAAAGTTAGGATGTTGACAAGGCATAAGGGAGTAAGATTGGATGTGGATAGAGGGCTGGCCAGGAAACCAGCAAGCATTCTCTTTTTCTCTGGAATAACCCCCCCCCATGATGAAAATTAGGCAGTTCAACAATGTGAATATTTAGTATCATGTATCTATATAAAAAAATGTTAAACAAAGGTGGATACAATTAGCCTTGATCTTGGTCTAAAAGAACGAGGCAGAAGCAATTGACAGAAAACAAACTATTGATGCTACATGTTCATTACACGGCTACACTTTGGCTTTAGGTACGAAAGTCTTGGCAGATCTCTATCAAACTGAATTTCTCTGGTTTATATAACTCTATTCACAATTTACAGGTACAGTTTTAAACAAAAGTGAACTTATTGGGGTTTTCCTTTAGAACATAATAGAATAGCTTCTACCCGACTTGCCACTGGTTCTAGGTGGCTTTCCATCACAAATTAATGACACAATGCAGCAAAAATATGCCATCTGAATCTTGCTGTTGGACTGGGGCATTCATTCATGTTTTTGGCATTCACTACAGTGCTAAATCAGAGAAGTAATTAAATGAATCATTTCCACAGTTTTTAATAGGGCAGGTTCTTTGTGAGCGACTTTTATGACTTATTAAAGGAGACATGTTATACCCTATTTCAACAAGTTAAACTAGTTCCCTGGTGTCCTAATGTAATGTCTGTGACAAGCTTTGGTCAAAATCCCATAAGGATGAAGCCCAATAGCAGTTCAGTCCCCCTGCCTAACCCTAACCCTAACCCTAACCCTAACCCCTAACCCAAAACAGCCCCGTTCAGAGCGCTCGCTTTGGAGTGCCTGTCTCTTTAAATGCAAATGAGACACAGGCAATCCCCCCACTTCTTCAGGGAGGTGTGCCAAAGTCGGCACGCTAACGCTACCATGCTAACGCTCACGCTACCACGACGTCTGCCACAGATAGGGGAGTAAGCTGAGGGGGGGGGGCAACATGCAGGTGAAAGGCTGGAATATTATAATGAGCTAGAGCTAATGACGTCAGAAACTACCCACTCCTGAAACCTCCTGATTTATCTCCTGTATTGAGACTGAGGCAGCCCACAAAAATCTGACTGAGTCATTGTTTTTCACACTTTGCCTGCTGATAGGCCCTCCACAGTCCCAAATGTACATAATCAAATGATTAAAAACTTGGATTTGCATAATATGTTCCCTTTAAGTCATGTACCTATCAGGCCAATCAACAGCCAACAGTCTGCCTTCAGCCAAACTCAGCTTGGTCGTAATCCCCAGCCTTAGTAGGTGCTAAAATTGTTTCTGTTCTGAGGCATCTGTCCAAATGGAAATGGAAAGTAGAATCGAATTGTGCCGTTTAGGTTCTTGTTAAGTTCCCAACAACTCTGTGTAAACATATACAAAAAAACAACAACATCTACTCTCACACTTCCATGATAGTTTTGAAAGATGTGTTCAGTAATGTGTTTAAAAAAGATATCCTTCATTTATCAAGTAAGGATAATGCTTCACCTATTTTCTACACTGAGCCAAAGACGATTTCGGAGTTTAACTGAAGGAAGTTGTTTTGCATCCATACACTGATTGGTTCCATACAGAGAAAGAAAACTACAGGCCTATGTTTTCCTACAGTCAGTAACCTTGAATTCAGTATCATCAGTATAGTTTTGGTAGGACACATTGTAGCTGCGTATCAGCTGGCTTAATGGAAGCATTGACCTATTGGGATCTGTTTGACCTGAGACACACTTCCCAATTTCAACAAAGTACCTCCTGTCCTCAAGGTGGGACCGGACTCAGACTCACAGTGAGACTGGAGATAATTGGTATACAACTTTTTTCTAGGACTTTTCCCTATAATGGAAGGTTTGATATGGACCAATAGTAGCTCACTACTCTGGCATCAGGCACATGAACACATTCAAGTCCCCTGTGGGATGGGAAATAGTTGAATTAATCAAACCAAACCAAAGCTGTAATATTT